TGATTCAATAGAGTTCAGAGAGGGGTAGAATGGCCTTCTACCCAATCTGTAGAGATGAGGCTATGAGAGAATATTGATCGGGAATGTTATTTGAATAATAGGAGGAGGCCAGGTCGGGACGTTGAGCACGAGAGTTTATCCGACTTCATTGAGGTGAGTCTTCTCACTATACTGTACCTGGAAGGGTACCTATGTGTGACCGGAAGGTCTTGTATGCTATAAGATGTATGTGCTATATGCGGTTATGTGATATGTATGTGCTATGTATGTTATGTATGGTATGGACCGGAAGGTCAAGATGATATGGACCGGAAGGTCAAGATGACATGGACCGGAAGGTCAAGAGGTTACGGACCGGAAGGTCGATACGGGTAGGACCGGAAGGCCTACCGGGATTCGGGACGGAAGTCCCCTGAGACACATGGATCGGAAGATCCTACAGAGTATGGCCTGGAAAGGCGTATGTGTGGTATGTGGTATTTTGGGGAACTCACTAAGCATTTATGCTTACAGTTGTTGTGTTATGTGTTTCAGGTGCTAGCGAGGATCGCGGGAAGGCGCCGGCATGATCCGTACACACTCATAGAGATTATGTTTTGAGATTCTGGGTTTAGTTTGTTATTATGACAGTGGATACGGTTTGCTTGATGTTGTTTTGATGAATAAAAGTATGTTTTAAAAATGAAAAATTGTTTTGGAAATTTACGTTGTTACACCATTGAAGTCCCCATGCAAGCTCTAAGGTGTTAGTTTGGCCTTGATAAGCCCAAAAGGCCATATATGGAAGGAAAGCCTGAGACTTTACGTGCTCATAGGGTGTCTAAGATCTGGACCTTGATTTTCATGCTTTGGTTTGAAGTAATATGAGTTTTGGGACAAAGACTTATGTCTTAAGGAGTTAGGGTTTGAGCTAAACCCATTTAGAAGGACCAGTAATGGGTAAAGTTGGAAACTTTACCCTTAAGAGGTCATTTCCAGCATGTAGACAAAGTTTGGCACTTAGATCTGAAGTGTAGGGGCTTAATCCTTTAAGATAGCCCAAACAGACTAAGGGACTCGACGAGTCCAGGGAGGAACTCGACGAGTCGAAGTGAGTTGTCCCGTTTTCTGTTATGGTAGAACTCGACGAGTCTGGGGAATGACTCGACGAGTTGATGCGATAAGTCGCGACCATGAGAAGTCAGGGAACTCGGCGAGTTAGGGGTTGACTCGACGAGTTGGATCGCGAATTCAGGAATCTGAGTTTTAGAACTCGACGAGTTGATGGAGCATCTCGGCGGGTTGAGTCAATGGGTCTACGACACCAAGGCCGGCCCATTTATGATATGTGGTACACTAGTTGTAGTAGAGATATGTGGTATGATAGTTAGCTTTATGCTAAGTGGTATGCTAGTGGTTATCTATGTTATTGCATGGAAGACCCCGGGGGAGCCCGTGGCAGTTGGATATAAGACCACGTGGGGGAGCCCGTGGCATTCCTAGGTGAAGACCATGTGGGGGAGTATATGGCATGATGGTATAAGACCCTGGGGGAGCCCACAACATCCTTGTTTGTTTATGTATGTGTTAGGTAGTATGATAGATACCTCTGTGATATACGATATGCTAGTTAATTATGTATGTTATTGCATGGAAGACCCCGGGGGGAGCCCGTGACAGTTGGATATAAGACCATGTGGGGGAGCCATGTCATTCCTAGGTAAAGACCATGGGGGAGCCCATGACATGAAGGTATAAGACCCTGGGGGAAGCCCACGACATCCTTATATGTTGTATGCATGGCTTAGGTGATATATGTAGCTTTTATAGCTAATATGATATGTGTTATGTGATTGTGTGTGGGGTATGCTCTGGGGGACTCACTAAGCTTTGTGTTTGCGGTTTACAGTTTTGGTTTCAGGTATCATTGATTTGGAAAAGAAGGGCTCGGATTGATCGCAATGCACACACCTATGGTTTCCGCAGTGAATGATTTTGGGATGAACTCTGATAAATGTTTTACTTAATGATGATTTGAAATGTTTTAAATAAATGGTATCAATGCTTTAGCTACATTAAAAATGAAATTTTTACCCTTGATTTTTGGGTCGTTACATCTTCTCTTGTTCCTGGTGAACATGAAGCTTGGAATTGCAATACTTCAACGATTAAAGGCATTTTCTATCTTTGGTTACGATGAATTGTGTTAGTTTGATATTTTTGATCTTGTTTTCTTATTCTTTTATAGACAATGTTGAGGGAAAGATATCTCGGAAAAAAGAAGTTCATTTATGGTCATTCAATTCAAAAGATTTGATGAATCGGGTCTTTAACTTGTTTCTGAAAAAACTGCACAAATACCGCTTTTAGAATATTTCCTTGTTTGACTAACTCTTTTGTTTTTATTCTTACATTATTTATTATTTTGTCTCGTACCATTTTAAATGAATTGACAGTGAACTTCATAGTTCTAGACTACTACTCAACTCTATGATACTAAAATTGAACCACTTCTTGTTGACGAGCTGACATCGTTTATGATTCACGCTGATTCCACCTCAGCGTGACCGGAACACTCCATTCTCTAAAATTTCTTCTCAATAAAACTTTATGATTCACCATCCTCTCCACCTTCACCGTTAAAAAATGGCTTTAATATTCTTTTTTCATTTAGACATATTTATATGTATTATTAACAATATTAATAATAACGAATTTAAAAATAGTATACTTATTTACATTTTTAATAATAATAATAATAATAATAATAATAATAATAAGGTTTTCTGTTTGTAGAAAAGTCATAATATTTTTATTTGCAGATAAGTCTTCATATTTTGAGTCAGTTTACGAAATAGTCACAAATTAATTTGTTACCGGTTCCAACCGGTAAAAAGGGTCAAAATGCAAACTTTTGTTAGTTTTTAGGATTTTTTCGTACACAAAACTAATTTAGGACTAAAACGGAAACTAAGCCAAAATTTTGGGACTTTATTGAAGATTTTCCAAAATTATATACAAGAATTTGAACCCGAATGAGTAGGTAACAACCCCTTGACCAACTGAACTACAAGAAGTTCATGTATAAACTTGAATAACATGATATTATTAACATATTTTCATGTATAAACTCAATGTTATTAAGATATTAATTATATAATTTGGTTAAAACTTGGACCCTATATTATAGGATCCTATGCAATAGTCTCTTATATATCTCAAGGTTGGGTCTGTATACGTGAAAGCGTTGCCTTTCATCATCGAAAATAGTCAGGATCACCAAAAAACATCTTCATCGGAGGTCGAACAGAAACCCGCCAACCTTTTACAACCAATGATGACTGTAGTCACATGCGATAACACTACCACCATCACCGATCACCACCACCACTTTTAACGTTTTTTTTGGAAAGGGAACTTCCTTAACGAGGGTTTCCGGGCCAGCTTTCGCGCACCGACTAATCCCCTGCTGCAAACATGAGGCTTTGCTTCATGTCCTGGAGTCACTGCAGGCGAACCTCCATGGCCACAAAGGTTGAGTGGTGTCAAGATTTGAACATGGGTCAATAGGTTATCCACCATATCTTCCACATGCATTACCAAGTCACCACAACCCAAGTGGTTTATGAAGAGGTTGTCGCAGGTGGCTACTGCGGATGTTGGATGTAAAAAAGTTAGTAGGGTTTCGCTGGACCTCCGATGAAGGTTTTTGGCGGTGATCCCAACGATTTTAGTTGATGAGCAGGCGACGCTTTTGCATATTCCGATAACTTTATGGTGAAACTAATAAAACTAACAAGAATTAATATTATACAATAAAAATAAATTAATAATATAATAAATAATACTTATTATATAAAAAATAATAAATTAAAAGTAATATTCCAATAAAAATAATTAATCCTAAAAAAGGAATTAAAATAACTAACTGAAAGAAATTAATAATCTGATAATGTAGTATTTATTAAGATATACATATTATAAATTAAAAATAGTATTTATTAATATATAATAATCCGATAAAAAAGAATTATTCCAATAAAAAAATTAACTAAATAATCCAATATTTTAATATATAAATATTATATATTAAAAGTAATATTTATTAATATATAATAATCCAATTAAAATATCCGATAACAAAGAAATTTAAAAAAATTAATTAAAATGAATTAATAATATAATAAAACAATGTTTATTAATATATAAATAAAATATATTAAAAATGACATTTATTAATATATAATAATTCAATAAAAATAAAAAGAAATTATGTAGAAATGATCTTTTATAGTTTGGCTGTAGAAATGGTCGCTGAAGGTAAAATAATCATTTTAAAAAAAGTTAACAGCCAAACTGTTAAAGTTAACGGTTTGGACCTTAACCACAACAAACTTGTTGAAAACGATCAAATCTATAACTTTTCAAAGGTTTGGATTTTAACCACATAAAATAAGAAATCATAGGGACTATTTTTGCAGTCTTGTGAATATATTTGAAAAAATATTTAAAAATAATTATGAATATGACTATAAAATATATGTAATACTTAAAATTTATGTGCTAAAAATATAAACAACAAAATGATAGATTATGTATTCCATTCATCAAATTTCCCAATTTAAAAAATTCTCATCCGATCCCATTCCAAGAAGACACATTTCTCAATATTTTGTTTTATAAAACCCAAAAAATAAAAGAATAAAACAAACCCCGTTCAAACAAACCGATTAGAGGGCATACTCGTCATTTCAAAAATCATAACGTTATCTTCCTTTTAGAAACCCCACATCTATTCAAATTCCAAATCTCTTTTAATACCCTTCTTGTCTCTTGCTACAGTCCCCTAATCTATAGATACACAAATCTGTATGTATAGTTGTATACCTACAGGTACACACTTCTGCGCGTATTGCTGTGTTCACTGCAACACAATCCCCAAAACTTCTCAGCTTTTGTGAAGAAAAGCCAAAATCACAGGTTTTCTAGAGAGAGAGAGAGAGAGAGATAGAGTTTTGAGAATGGAGGTGGAAATGGAGGATGATAGTAGTAGTGGTAATGTCGCTGTGGAGTTTACGTTTACGGCTGTGGAAATCGATCTCGATTACGAGTTTGAAGCTGCGCGGTTCTTTGATTTTACAAGGGAGGAGTCGACGGTAGAAGCTCGTGAAGCTGAAATGTGGTTTGAGTCCGTTGAAAGCTATCCGCCTTCGCGTAAGTTGTTGAAATCTGTATACATTGCCGTTTTATGCTTGTGCTCCTTTTTTTATGCCTGATTATGAGTAGTTATTATAGGTTTTAGCTGATTTTTACATCAATAGATCATAAGCATTCCTGGAGATGTTCAATGTTTTTTTTATAAGCATCATTTGTTGGAGATTCTCATTGTTCATGATATCGATCGTTTTGTTACACCTGTAAATAGGGGAAACAGTGTCGCACCTAAGCCGAGCTGAATTTATTGATTTTTTTTTCCAGTTCAAATATACACGCTCCCTAGTGTTTGACTTTTGAGGTTACTCGTAAATTATTTAGGTCCAAAATTGATTGATTTCAAGAAAAATACCGGTAGTTACATGTAACTTTATGAAATTCCTACTCTCAGAAACTAGTTTTAGGTTAAATTTGGTAGATCATTCAGGTTAATTTCGAATTTGAAAGTATAAGGTTTGACCTAAAATGTCTCAACATATCCATTCTTCTGCAATGACATTTGAAAAGTAATTTCACAGGGATGCACCTTGTGGTTTCGTAATCTGATCATGGAAATTTGTGTAGTGTTTGCTAGTTTGGTGTAGTCACTAAACCACTTGCTCATGCAGGTCAAGCTGATGTATATATCTTGGGTTTGTGGTCCATATGATTGCAGAAGACAAAATTTACCATTCTAACTAATAAGTGGTCCCAATCACCAGTTACTAACTTTGAGTTCTTCTCACAGATGTGGTTATTTTCTAGTTCTGTTTTACAATATGAATTAGTTGCCCCTTTTGAAATTGTATTATTGCTAGTAGTAATTTGACTTGCCAGTTTTAGTCATGATTACATCCCAAATTCATCAATGGTCAATTTATTTAGGTTTTAAAGGAAGCACATTTCTAGCCACACTCTATCTTCTGTTAATGATGCCATTTCTTGTCTCTATATGCATCATATCTGTTCCAGATTCTTGTTCTTATAAGTTTTATAAAAATATGTATACTGCTTTCACTGTCATAGGCTCAATAGTACACAGTTTTTGACTTCTTTACCACATTTTTTTTATTTCAGCATTTGCAGTTAGATTAATTTCAAGAGAGCAAAATGAAAATGCCAACATTCATACAGAATCAAAAGTTTTTAACACAAATCAGTTGGATAATGTCTCTAATGTTGTAAGAGCACAAGAGGGTTCTTCAATGGCTTTGACCAAGACAAACACAGGTATTGACTATTGTACCCTTATTGTAAATAAGGACTAATAAGATATAAGATAATGCAATTAAGTATATTGTCAACTGATAACTATTTTACAGATGGTGATGTGGCGAATGGGGGAGTTTCTTTGGACTTAAAAAGTTACTGTCTACAAACCTTCCAGAAGCAACAACCTAGAAGAAATGATAATTATAAATCTAAGACAAAATCAAATTTGAAACCAAGTTTTCCAAGGACCTCAACTTTAATGAAACCTACTGCAAGTCAATTAGCTAAACAAAATCAAGAACGTTTAATGGATCATTCCAGGTATTAATTATACTGCTGAAATTGAAATTATTCTTGTGATTATGCTTCTTAATTACTGTTAAAAGCAGATAGGAATGGAAAAAGAATCAAAGAGGATAATGTTTTATTGTTTTATAAACCATAAATTTGAAAAAAACTTTATATCATTGTGTGTTAGGGTTCAAAAATCGGGTAACAATTCTATAAATGTAGAAGGTCAAGCAGCCAAAAGACAAAAGCTCGAGGGAGGCCTGTTGTGTAAGGTCAGAAATACCCTTTTATCATTGTAATGAAACATTTCTGCACACTTTTTATATTAAAGGATAAATACTTGATGCCTATAATTTAAATTTCAGGTCACTGACACAAAGCAACAAGCTAATTTTATCCACAAGGCACCAAAAAAGGTAACATACATATTATAAGTGGTTCATTTGATCTTGTGAATGATTTTTTTAGAAGTTTTCTCTTTTTAGTTTTTAATTTTATTATTTTATTTTTATGGTTATATAGGAAGGTGGCATGGATAGTAAGTTGCATATTACTGTTCCTAGACCCCCTGATCTTGCAACAGCTCAAAGGTCACAAAGGATAAGGTTATTATAAATCCACATCTCACTATTATTTTAAAGATTTTTTTCATTTTTATATTTTTTATTTACTAACATGTAATTGAATATCTTTTGGTGTTAGGCAAAAGGGCGATACTGGAAACGAGAATGTGGCTTCAAGAGCTCATGGGTTTAGAGCCCTTCCACTCAATAGAAAAGTTTGTATTTTATTTTGTGCATAACTAACTTAATTTCTTTAAGATTTGAATAAATTACATTTTTGGTCCCTGAGAATAGCTTATTTTTGCAATTTTGGTCCTTAACTGAGGTGCTTGTAACATTTTTTGGTTTATGGTCCAAGTAAAATGTCTATTTTGGTCCCAAAAGCGTTATAAAACCTGAAATAAGGATCAAAATTGCAAGGAAAACTTTATGGGACCAAAACTGAAAAAATCAGCTATACTCAGGGACCAAAGATGTAATTTACTCTTAAAATAATGTTATTGAAGTGTACTATGAATTTAAGCATCACACTGACAGCATGTTGTTGTGTACATTGTTTTCATTGATGTTTTACAAAACAAAAAGATTTTAAAAAAGTTTGTATACTTTAAGGTTATGTTTTTATATATTTAATTTATCACGTGCAGATTTTTGAGACACCTTCATTGTTACAACAAAAAAGAAGCACTCCTCAGTTACCAGAATTTCAAGTATGCTCATAATTAATCTTCTAATATTTAATCAATTAATTATTTTTGTGGCAATATTATATTTTATTTTTTTACCAGGAATTTCACTTGAAGACAACAGAGAGAGCTGCACAAAACACTGCTGCAGTTCCATCAACTTCATCATACTGCAACAACTTAAAGGTTAAAAACACATCATATCTTAGATTTTTATATTTGGATTAAAAAAAGAATAATTAAAAATATAAAAATAATGTAATTAAAAAAGTTGTGTATTAATATTATACAGGTACCACAGAAGCCTAGATTTTCCTTTGCGACAGAAAGTAAACAAGAAGATTGTGAAACAATTTCAAGATTTAAAGCGTTACCTCTCAACAAAAAAGTAATTATTTTTATTTCTATATAATACAATTATTCAAATAATTAAAAAAATAATGCGTGATTTTTTTTAATGTAGATATTTTCAAGTAAAGGAGATCTAGGAGTTTTTAGAAGTAGCAAGAGGGAGACAACAGTAGCTATGGTAGTAGTTTCTCATAATACAATTCCACTTTTCAATTATTTCTTCCTTTAATAATATCATAAAAAATTCTATTTTTTTAAAATATTTTTTCAGGCATTTAATTTTCAAACTGAAAAAAGAGCTCAAAATGCCCCCCCAATCGATCTCTTCAACAAGGTATGAACCCTAAACCCTAAACCCTAAACCCTAAAGACTAAACCCTAAACCCTAAATCTTGAACCCTGAACTTGACATTTAAATTTTATTTTTTGTAATTTGCAGCTCACATTGGATTCTGGTTCTGAATTGAATAGGCCTAGGCCTAGGGCTAGACATCAGTCTATTTTTATGAAGGTTATTTTCGATCCCCATTTATAACACCATAATTAATTAAATTTGGATTTTTGTTTTTAAACTATAAATAATAAAATATTTTATTTATTTATGTATGCATTTTTACTAAATTTTGTATTATTTTGGCACAAGGGTTCAAAAGAAAACAGAGTATGCTCCTTTCAACAACAAAGTGAGATAGTAAACCACAAAATGACATCATCAAAACAAGTTCATTTTGACAGCAATTCAGCTATCACTGAAGGCATTACTCCATTGTCAACAATTAGCAGGTAAAACATTTAAAAAAAAATACACATAAAATTGTTATAATTTATTAGTATTGGATGTTAATTGTTATGTAATTTGGAACAGAAATTTGGGGATTCGTTAACATGACGATTGATGATAAAAAACCAACCATGACATTGATGGAAGAAGAAAGATTATGATCGCGTGTTAATAAAATGTAAGAAAAACCAAAGATGTACAGCTTTTGTTGGTTTCTTTCTAGTTTAAAAAAAAATATAAAAAATGATTTGAGAGCATATTTGTCTCAAAAAAGAAAGAAAAATAAAGTGGAATTAACTTTGCATTCAGACAAAACCAAGAGGACTAGAATTAAAATGCTAACACAAGAATTGACCGCACTTGGTCCTTTGGGACATTTTAATTAATTTGATGTACTGAAAGAAGACTGACTTATTTCTTGAGTCTGACATGGCATTCAAGAATATGACTTTCGTATGCTTGGTCTTTTTAAAAAAAAAAAAAAAGTTATTCCTCAATAAACTCGATAAGATTGGCGTTTACTTAAATAATCATTTTCTCGTAATTGTTGTAGTACTTTTGCCGACAAGTTCACTCGGTTTATGTGGATGTATCCTTGGGAAACTGAACAATCAACACATATATTAAAGTACAAGAAAAGATACACATGATATTTATGTGATTCACGTGATCAATGAGATGGTGTCGCTTTCATAGACAAACCAGAGATGGACAAAGTGTTTTAGTGATGATATAGTTGAGGTTTATAGTAACAAGCGTTGGTTATATATAGAGCTTTCGGGTCTAAAACTCCTTACTAACCACGTCCATATAATGGGGCATAGTTTCATACTAGGCTCGACTATCCATACATACTTCATACATTTGGAGGTAATTCTATCCAACTATCCATACATACTTCATACATTTGGAGGTAATTCTATCCAACTTTAGGAGCTACCTTTTACGAAATCACACTTTATTATTCAAATATCACCCCTAGTGACTCTAACAAAGACGATGTCTTAGGGAGGACAGAGTCATGCAAGAGGTACTCTCAGTACCTCCAAGTTGTGATTCTCTCACCAGTGGATCGTTCAACCAGTTAATTCATGTGTATTGATTACTTGTATTTTTTGCTTTAATATTTATACCAAAATAATTTTGTATTTTTTAGATTAGTTTGTATATTTTTAATATTTTGTAAATTAGTTTTGTATAATTTTTATTAGTTTGTGTTTATTTTAAAATAAAAAATTAAATGGATTGAAAAAGATAGAGTTTTTATGTGTTGTGGGTTAAGAAAGATAAAAGAAAGATGATAGAGAGAAGATGATGCGGAGCCACCTTTCACGAAATCACACTTTATTATTCAAATATCACCCTTGGTGACTCTAACAAAGACGATGTCTTAGGGAGGACTGAGTCATGTAGGAGGTACTGTAGTACCTCCAAGTTGTGATTCTCTCGCCAGTGGATCACGATTGGTCGGGTGATATGCGGGTTAAACAACCCGTTCAACGAATTAATCCATGTGTATTTTTTGCTTTAATAGTTATATCAAAGTAATTTTGTATTTTTTAGATTAGTTTGTATATTTTTAATATTTTGTAAATTAGTTTTGTATAATTTTTATTAATTTGTGTTTATTGTAAAACCAAAAATTAAGTGGATTGGAAAAAATAGAGTTTTTATGTGTTGTGGGTTGAGAAGGATGAAAGAAAGATGATAGAGAAAAGATGATGTGAAGCTGAAATGACAGTGAGTTGGTAGGGAAGGCTTCCCTCCACCCTTATGGTCACTTGTCTGTGAGCGGGTTCTAAGCTACCACTTTCATCCGAATCGAGAACACCGTGCCAACCATTGTAGTGATAGTGGACTCGACATAGCGACTGCTCCCTTCCCATATTCTCCCACTTCCCTTTCCTCTCCTCCCTCGTATATTGTGTATTAAGACTTGTATATGATGTTAAAGATATGTATACCATGATTTGAAAATGGAGGGAGTGAATGATGTGTGATTGACATACAAAAAATGATGACCGATAAAAAATGAATACAATGGATGCCCTAATGCCATTAATCGTGACTCCAGTTTTGTTCAACTAACCATCTACACCAATCCTATTACCTACATTTTTTAATCTCGTTTCTATCTCGTATATATTAACTTCTCTCCTACATGATACTTATTACAAAATATGGGGTGAAACATGGTAAAATTGACTATTAATTTTAGGACATATGATGGAGCATGAACTTTATTTGACCCTTTGCAAGGGGCGCTGCTTCACTATTATACACGTTTGCAATTTGCATACACTACATGGCTTGTATTAGATTTAGTAATAGCAACATTGGGCCACCTTGATGATAGTAATAGCACCATCATTAATAGGTTAGAAAAGCTTATTAGATTTAGCAACCCACTCTTGAAAGATTTGGGCAACAATGTTATTATTATTATTTTTTTTTTTGGAATTCAAGCTAATTTTACTAATCCTGACTCAACAACATTAAGCTCAAAACTAAAACACAAACATGTAAAAAGTTAATATTGGTATTAATATAAAAATTGTAGCATTGATAAGGTTATTTACACAAAATCCAACAAGATCAAGAAACCTGAGCTTCACAAGTGAGGAACAATAGGTCTATCATCTTTAAAGTTTAATCTTAATCCAGATCACAAACCTCTTCAATAATCTGACCTTTTTAGCTTCTAAATTGTCAACTCTTTCTGCTTGTGGTGTATATCATTTCAGTCATAAGCTATGACCAATAACTTCTTTTTCACAACACATCAAAAACCAAAATCAGCTTAACGTATATGTGTTCTTCCAAAAGATGATGCTCCAATTGCACTCTCATTGTTCTGCATTCATAAATTCAATCACCAATTTTGTCATTATAAATAGTACTAATTATATGCTTGAATTCAAGTCTTTTTGACTCAAAAAGTCAACGTGGCAAAATGTTAAAACTGACCATGGTTTACCTGAGATTTAGGAGAAGGAAATGCATTCCAAAATCTAAGTGTTTCATCTCCAGCTCCAGTCACAATCGTCTGCATAACCATTTAAAATTTTAAAACCATCACACAATCTGTCAACTGTATTTAAAAAACATCAAATAAAAATGCATAATTCTTTTCAAATTAACAATTAATCATCATTATATCATATAAGATTACCTGTCCATCAGGTGAGATTGCAAGGTAAAGAACTCTGTATGTATGCCCAGTAAGAGTAGCCAACTGCAATTCCATTCAAGATTCACATTTATACACACCCTTTTTAACAAAAAAAAAAAGTCAAACTTCCAATTTTAGAGAAAAAGTCAAACCCACATGAAAAAGATCTTACCTTTGACATATTAGGGTACTTCCAGACTATAATTTGATTCTGAGAGTATCCATGTGTGCTCACAAGTTCATTCCCATTCTTAGACCACACAAGATTACACACCTGAAAAAATAACAACAACCCTTTTATTGGATTCAAGAAAAGATTTAAAAAAGTACAAATCTTGATTCCATTTTTGTAAAAAAAAATGTTAAATTTACCTGACTACCGGTATCCACACAGCTCAGGTGAGAATTGGTGGTTGTGTTCCAAAATTTGATACACCGGTCAGCAGTGCCGCCACCGGAAGCCAGAAGTCCATAAAGATGTGGAGACCACGCAATTGCTTTCACAGCAGCAGTATGCTCACAGTATTTCAAAACAGGTTGTGTTGAATGTTGATTCCAAACAAAAAGCTGAACACAATAAAGATTAATTACATTAATTCTCAACTTTGTGTTTATCATCAACTTCAACTTTGTATTATAAAAAAAAAAGATTGTTATTTTGTGGAAAGTGATTATAATTGCATACATACCCGATTATCGTTTCCCCCTGATGCTAATTCGCGATTATCATAAGACCATTTGAGTCCACACACTTCTGATTTATGACCATTTAACTTACTAACAAAATCTTGTTCTACACGTGGGTCCCGTTGAAGAACACTTTTATCACGGCTTCCTGAAGATAACATGGATGAATTCCAAGCCAAGGCTCCAACACGTGATCTGTGTCCTTCCATGGTTCTAACTTTCTTGCATCCAAACACATCCCATATCTGAATTCACAAACTTGGTTAGGTTTTGTAAAGAAAGTAGATTTTATAAAATATAAGTTGAATGAATAAGATTAATATAACATTACCTGGACTTCTCCATTGCTAGTTCCAACTGCAAGAGTTGTTCCTTGTTGTGACCACCCAACTGAACAGACTGTTTCATCAATGCCCAAATCACATAATTTTGTAACCTGTGTTTTCATGGAGTTTTAGCTTTGAATGTTGATTTAGATGATCATGAAAGATAGATTAGCATAAGTCAAAAGAGTTGATGATTTTCGTCAATTTACCTTACTACTAGAGGCATTCCATAAGTAAACACAATTGCTCAATCCCACAGCCAAGATATTATGAGAAGACCAATCCACAAGATTTAGGTAAAAATCATCTTGCAATGCTGGTGCATCTAGAACCTAAAATCAAATGATTAGGAGCCAATGTGAGCTTCTAGTACTAAAATCTCCAAATGATTAGAACCCAATGTCATCAAGTTAACAAAGATTTAGAGTAATTGGCTGGAGTACTGACCTTATAAGGAGATCTGGGAACAATTCGTCGAGCTTTAGCAGGTCGATGACTAACCCCAGGCAACTCATTATCAAATCCAAACGGAGACAGCGAATGCAACGATTGCCTAGTCTCACTCTTGAAGCGAAAAATATTCCGGTTTACTGGATTAGTAGTAGTCACTGGAGAGTTCTTCTTATCAGGCGTACTGGGAGGAATGAATCCCAGATCCGACCCAAACAATGCCTTTCTCAAAAGGGCAGTGTAGGCGGCTGAGGAAGAAGAAGTGTCGTTGTCAGCGCCTCCGTCGGACGGTGGCGGAGTAGACAAGCCAAATAGGGCGAAATTGGATGCGGATCGAGAGGGGATAAATCGATCGCTGTAGATGGTGCGTGATGGAGATGGGTGGTAATAATTTAGAGAAGATGGGGTTGTGGGTTTTGGTGATGGGATTTGACAATGAGATGAAGATTCATCGTTCATCTTGGAGTTGAGTTTGTGGGATTGTTGATCGATCGTAATCGAAAGCTGCAGGCTATTTACCCGGGAATGGTAGACGGGTAGGAAAATTGCCGCGGAAAACAACAAACCATGGCGACTTATCTGCCCGGCTGCCCGACGTTTACTTGTTGGAAGGATTCCAGAAAAGGGTGTATATATATTACTGTTTTTGTTTTTATTTTTTTAAAATTATTTATGTTATTATGATTTTAGAATAAATTTACTGGTATCTCCGATACATATTTGTATATTTTACGCTTTATATAACTTTAGGTAATTTTTTTTTTTGGAAAGGGAGCTTCCGTAACAAGGATTTTCGGGTCAGTTTTCGCACACCGACTAATCCCCGCTGCGAACATGAGTTTATATCTCATGCATTGGAGTCAATGCAGAAGAACCTCCATGACCACAGAAATTGAGTAGTGTTAGGATTTGAACATGAGTCAATATGTTATCCACCATATCTTACATATGTCTTACCAAGTCACTACAACCCAAGTAGTTAACTCTAAGTAAATTACAAGAATCATCATGTGGTTTTAAGTAATTTGTATGTTCGGTCCATGTTTTCTTTAAAATTAAAATTTGTATAGTTGTTATAAGACCATCCGAAACACCGTCCACGAATCGGCTCGTGGTCTACGTGGCCATGATCGTGGTCCGTACACACCATCCCGACCTATCGTGGTCAGGTGTTTTCGTGGTGGGGAAGACGCAAGACAATGACCAATGCAAATGTTTGGAAAATTCGACTGTTTGACTAGCCGTTCCAACGACCAATTGTTTATTTTTTTACACAACAATTTTACCTATAAATACCTTACTATACAACCTCATTTTTTACACCATTATTTTCTTTCTCTGTTACACAATTACACATAACCTTTTTACAACAAAAAACAATGAATCATAATCAAAATACCACCCCCCCCCAAACTATCGAAACCGCAAACTCGATAATGATTTTGTGTTTTATACAACTCTCCGCCAATTCCCGACCATGGAATCACCTCAAGATAGTTTTGTGAATTTGCTCTATACCGGTTCCCCTATTCAACAAACACCACTTTTCCAACAACAATTTCAACCTTTCCCGGCCAATCAACAACAATTCCAATAATATCAACAATTCCAATAATATCAACAATTCCAACCACAAGCGTCACAACCACAATCGTCACAACCACAAGCGTCACAACCCCCTCATTCGCCAGATTTTGTTTCGGAAACGCAACCTTCACCCCCACCACCTCAACCCAAAAAAGGGAAAAACACGGCCTGAACCAATACACTCGAAAGGATACCATGGACAAAATAGGAAGAAAATAAGTTAGCGGATGCATGGGTATCGACTTCCCAAGACCCAATTGAAGGAGATTCACAAACCTATACTTGTTTTCGACAGAAAGTTCGAAGTGTGTTCTATGAGTTAGTGGAAGGTGAAACTCAAAATCTCGACCAAATTAGCTCGAAATGACGCGATTTGCGACTAGAATGCATCGAATTTGGAGGAATTTACAATAACCTCAAAAACTTACACAAAAGTGGGTCAAACGATTTCGATGTCTTTAAGGAGACGTTGGATCAATTTGAAAAAACAACACCAACACGCAAAAGTTTTCCATATGTGAAACCGTGACTAAAATTGAAAGATGCTCCAAAATGGAAAGAGCAAACGAAAGCAACTTCACAAACATCTTCCGGTTCAAAGCGTTCAAGAAACCCCGATGCAACTTCCCAACAATCGGACGGACGGACACACATTGACATCAACGATGACCTGATAGATCTTGAAGACGAACAACCTCTCCATCGGCCCGTTGGAAGAAATAAAGTAAAAAAATCGGGTTCGTCGGCTCTGGGAGCTTGGCGTTATCGATCATTTTGGAGATAAATTTGATCGATATGTCCAAATTCAAGAAAACAAGGCGGATATGATGAGTCGGGTTGAAAAAAACTGGTAGAAATGCAAAAGACGGTTCAAACAAAAAAGGATATGGAAATTTTAGAAATGAAACCGGACAACCTGGAATGCGAAGATTTGAAGTTTTTTCTCGTGGTGAAGGAGTTCGTTTGAGCCCGACATAGTCATAAGGGGTAGATTTTTTTTAATGTTTGGTATTTTTAGGTTTTTTTCACGTTGCGTTTTTTTATTTATCTAATATAATTTTTTTAAACGTATTATGATATCTTAATTCAATGAAAAAACTAGTTTAAAAAAATTATATGTTTTTAAATGTTTTTTTGTATAAAAAAATATAAAAAATGATGTGGAGTGAAGTGATAGTGGTGGGTATCCCATAAGTTTAGTGGTAGGATGTGGTGATGATGTGATGCCCACCAGTATAGTGGTTAGTGGTGGGTATTGTAGATGTCAAATATGTTTTTGTTGAGTCTTTGATCCATATCATACATAAAAAGGATTACCATTAATGATTTTATTTTTATTTTCTTTTTGGTATTTGTTTATATATTTATAATATTAGATGGGCCTACCCTACCGTACCCTTACCCCTTTCCCTCATATTCTTTCAATTTTTTCTAAACGGATTCTAAAACCTCATGTCGACACCGGACATCGATGCTCTTCGGAATTCAACCAACAAAAACTTTCCTTTCCTTTCAGTTTTCTCGTTAGTTAGTGTTGGATTAATGTGTCTAAGGTAACAATTAAATTGATATATACTTGTAATTAAAAGCAAAGTCTTTTCTCGGTTGTCCTCATAACTAGTAACTGAATAGAATGACATTTGGAGTGAGAGGATGATTTGTTAGTTTATTAAGTGATTAATAAATTAATTGAAAATGATTTATTAATATATGATATGATTAATATATTAATTGGAAATAACAATAATTAATTAAGAATTAATCAGAAATTAATTGGAATTAATTTTGTGATTAATTAGAATTAAATGAAGGTGCAAAGACTTACGCTGTAATTGTTCAAAAGTTGAACAATGGTGAGGTTCAAGAACCTTCCCCATGTGGACGATTTTGGCTAGCCCTGTATAGGGTTTCTGGAAGCCTCCTGAAGATAAGGATACTAGATAATTACTTGAGTTTTGAATTATTATTATTATATTTCAAATTAGGGATTCTAGGGTTTTCTTATTAACTATAGTAGCCTATTTTCGTCCACTCCACATCCAAGAAGGATAGCCAAAATTTTGCATCCCCTCTCCTTTTTTCTCTTTTCTTATAGTTGTTAGGGTTTAGGTACAAGCCATTAGAGGCACTAAGCTTTTGGTGCTAGCTTTCTGAAGAACAAAAGAAGAAATCAAGATAATTTTTTGCTATAATAATTCTAAAGGTATGTAAACCTTACTATTGAATTTTCAATTTCAACAGGGTTTCTCTAATGTTCTTAATATTCATAGTATGTTGTTATTATTTGTAAAGACATAGATACTTTTATAGGTTGCATGTGCCCTTAAATGTTAAGTGTATTTTTCTGCACGTACATGTAATTTTATAACCTATAAAACCCTCTAGTGGTATCAGAGCCATGGCCTCACAAATAATTGTGCATGAAGTGAATGGATCAAGCTAGGGTTTATAAAAAATAAAGCCTTTCTCTTGGAAATTTCGAATTTTGCTAAGGTTTATTGAACCCCTAGCCTCCTTTCCTTATTTTCGAAAATGTCTAGGGTTTCCTAGGGTTTCTAGTTTCCTTATCTTGTTATTTCAAATGCCTTAAAATTTGAACAATTTAAAAACTTGTTAACCCTAAGTCCCTATGCCTAATTTCGAAAATTAAAAGGATTAAGATTAAATTTGAATTATTTAATTAAAGGTATAATTAAGATAATTATTTAATTCTTAAATGATTTAATAATTTAATTAAACGAAACATTAGACCATATTGGGTTTAAATTGATTAATTAATTATATGATTAATTTAGATAATTAATATTTAAACCTTGTGTTTTAAAAAGTTTTAAAATACACCTATATATATATATATATATATATATATATATATATATATATATATATATATATGTGTTAAAGGTTTAGTACTATATGTATAAGAAAATCCAGACGAATCAATAGTAGGTCTCATTTACGAAGCCATGATATAAGAGGGGTATAAGGAAACAACTTACAAAATGACTGTTAAATGGGTGCCATTTTCACCCACCACTCATTTGCTTGGTGGATGATCCTTAGCCGAACGGGTTCGATAGGACATAATCTTATTTAAAGTATAATGATATAAAGTACTAGAACCTTCTTTTAAAATTCCACTCTAGTTACTTTAGAAAAAATATAAAGTGTATGCTAATCCATGAAAATGCAAATCATTCTTTATAAGTCGTTAGTGGAGCGTATGTAGCTAACCAACACACTGATATATGCACGAGTTAGAAGCAAATACTCCTCAGCGGTCCATGGTTTTGAACCCATTGTAAAAGATACAAAGTAGATGAAGTGATATAGATTAAATGAAATGATACACATTTTTTAGTCATTTTATAGTGAAATGACAGTCCGCGGAAGTGACTTGGCAGTCCATGAAACAAATATAATAACAAAAATAAATAAAACACATATTTGTATTAAACAAAATTACTAAAAACAAATATTTCATATTAATATATACAAAGTTCCTAAAATCAAGTTATATAGTATTCCAAATAATATTTGTCATCCTATTTCTGTAGAGAAATCCCGCATCTCTACGTGGCTTATCAATCTTCACCGGTACCCCTGAAACAATCATTTCCATAAACATGCATACGAATACTCCACAATCCCCTCTATCTTCAATATATTCCTTCTGTGGCGTGTCTATAGTATCAACAAACTCCAGAGTTGTGTTGGCTTTGTGTCCATCGGGGAAATCGTTCCAGTAGTCAATCACATCTAACTCTGAGATAATCCTATCCCCAAAACTTGTGAATTCTCCACCAGTCAAGTCCTTTGAGAAGAAATTCATAGATCGTGTTGAATCATAAATGTGTACTTTCAAGGTATTTAAATGTAGCACTGCCAAAAACCAATGGACACCAACAACGTTTACAGGGAATAGAACCTGCAAACAAAAAAATTTAAATACTCGTAAATTTAATATATATATATATATATATATATATATAATTATTAATGTGTACTTTCTAGGTATTTAAATGTAGCACTAATCATATCCACGTCCTTCCATTTAGGATAGCCTCGAACACCATTTGCTACATTATAAAAAAATGATTTTGCGGGTTGCAAAATGAGTTCTTGAGGGTATATCGTCCACCTTGCGTTCGCCGCCCGTCTTTCCATGAGCAAGACACTCCATATTGCAATATGCTGTACATTTTAAGATAAAAATGTTACAACTATTTACATAAATTATCATCTAAAAAATAGTTAAAATTTAACAAATGTTACCGAAGAAATTAACCACCCAGAGTCAGTAACTGCAAGTAACATTGACCAAAACTCCACATCCAGTGGGAGTATATGCAGCCTGTGTGTAGTGTTGAGGTTGGAAGATATCATATTCCATTCTTTCCAAAAACCCAACATACTACCAGCATAAAGACTGTCTAACAGGAGATGATTTGAAACATTGTTACTTTGTTCATTCACAATGTCTTCAATTGCTTTTTTCAGGACTCTCCACTCCTTTTTTTCCTTGGTTTGGTGATTTTCTTCACTTTTGGTGTGGATTGCATCTAAAAAATTAAATTGTTAAATAATTATCAATAACGTAATATTTTATAAATACACCAAATTTAAAATATGAGTTTTGTACTACTGTGAACGGCGTCCGCTGATACCATGAAACACCCCTCTTTCGTTGCGGCCTAACAATAGGAGTCACTGTTTTTTTTCTGATGTTCACCCACGCCCGGTGATGGCTCAACATGCGTAGGTGTATGTCCAACTTCCCCCCTCCAAACCATGAGTAAATATATCATCATAGTCCAACAGTGTACCATTATGGTAATCTGTTTCTTCCTATTCTTCATTTACCATGTCCTCCTCCTCTCCAAACCCTGTATCTGGTTCATATTTTTTCTGTAATATACGGTCTACTTTAGAAGATAAGTCAGCCACAACGCCTAGTAGATGCTTCACTAATGACTTTGTGCTCGTCTTCTTCTTTTTTACTGACCTTGTTGATGTGTCGCTTGACATATAAGTTCTTTCTACTTCAGGATGTTGCGAGGAAGAAACATTTGTGGCAGATTCAGTCGAAGATGTTTCCGACTTGTACTTCTTTCTTTGAGGAGGCGAGGCAACAATAGGTGGACTCTGTTGCCATGAGGGAGACTCTTCATGGGTAAGAGTCCAATTGACGTAGCGAATATAGAATGGAAACATGAGCTCCGTCACGTTTGCCACGACAAAAATAGGTTGGTTGTTAGGCTGCAAAAATCAGATTCTTAGTTTAACATGAAAAAACATTGGAATTTTTAATTATATATAATCCTTAATATAATATAAAAAGTATACCAAAGACACGTTGATTATTCGGCGACATTGAAGCCAAGATAACAGTGTTTTACTTCTCCACGACCTCATCCGTGGCAATTCTGTCGGCGTGCGTATATAATACTGGGTTGCCTCTGGGAACGCCTCCAGAATCCATATCTATGGAAAAAAAGGTAAGTATCATGCTATTATAGTATAAAAATGAAAGTACAATGATATTATATACTACGAACCGAAGTGCAATGTTATTATCGTATAAAAACAAAACTATGATAACTATTTAAATGCATTAGAAACTAACCTTAAACGGAAGCATAAAACCGGCAACGGTATACTTGTGTACTTTCTTGGATTCGGGATTGGTCTGCTTAAATATTCTAAATTTTTCTATTTTCTCAAACACTCCACACATCAACCCCGAAGTATAGGTTCAGAAATACGTACCCCATGCAAACCTGTAATTTTCAATTTATTTATTATAATTAGGTATTATTGTATTTATACACAATCTTTAAATGTAATACCTGTTCCAATCATCTATATTATCAGCAAGTTTGTATACTGCCGCAGGAATGCCCATTTTAACGTCCCGTCCGTGGAGACATTTCAACATAAAAACAAGCTGGATAAGCATTACAGCATCTTCATCCTGAAGTGACAAATAATTCGGAGACATAATGTAGTCTTGTAAATCTTTCAGCCGCAAACGTGCATCAGAAATGTCTGGGAACAACCGAGCACGAAGATTTGAATTTGACCGACCTTTTTCGTCATGGAGTAAATCCACATAAGGACCAACTCTTAAACCACAAATCAAGTAATGGGTCACCTGGAGGACATGCATTCCTAAGAATCTTCCAAACGGCGAAGCTTCAAATAATACTCGTTGTGAGTGTGTTAGGCGCGGAAAATAGTCTTTAATGATCGTACCCACCACGCCTTTTAAAGTTAACTCTGCTTTTTGATTGAGATCATCGTGCTACAAAACATATACATTTAATTTCATATAAAACGTTAGTAATTGAAAATAAAAAACAACGTTTCAAAATTACTTTTCTTATTTGGTTTATGAAATAAATAGCAACGTACTTTTTGTATAATAATAAATAGTTCATATAAAAGGGCAGAAAAAAAAGGGAAAAAGCCATTTTAGGTCATTCCGCGGAGGCAACAGGTGATTCCGCGGAGACCCCTCTGCGAAGTGGCCTACAGCTCCGCGGAGACCCCTCTGCGGAGTGGCCTACAGCTCCGCGGAGACTTATATTTGGTTGTTTAATTCATTCCACGAAGGCAACACATCAATCCGCGGAGGACCCTCTGTGGAATGACGTACATCTCCGCGGAATGCATCTTCCCAAAATTCAAATGGCCTGTTAATCCTAACATCTACCAAATCAAAATATGTATATATTCACGGTAATCAATTGGATTTTCGTAACATTTGAATCATAAATATATACAATACGACATTAATCAAAAGAGGGGAATGTGAGAAATACCCGGGAGTCGTATCCATCAGCGAAAATATCGGGGAAATTGCCCTCCATTGGTGCCGGATTTTGCTGTTTCAAGTCGATTTTGCCGGAAAATGACGTCGTTTGATGTCGTTGTCGCCGGGTTTGAAGTCGTCGTCGGAAAAAAATCGAAATACCCTACCGATGCGGATAAAAGTTCGAAGTCGAAGAGGAATCCGGGGAAAATGGGGGACCAAAGAGGTGGACCATTTTTGTCAAAGAGGAGAGGGGTGAAATTACGAAAATACCCCCTCTCCGTTGAGAATTCTTCGTTCCGCGGACCCCCGTAGAGGCTCCTCCGCGGAATGCGTGACTATACCCGGGAACGTGATTTTTCATGTCTAAAATTTGAAATGCCCCTCCCCCCAATAAATGATTATAGCATGTACTTTCCCTTTTGTTGGACACTATTATTGAAAATGCTATTATTTTAGGATGTTATTGTTGAATAAAACAAATAAAGGAAGATGCTATTATTGAGAATGCTATTTTTTGTAAAAAAAACAATGTGCGTTGTAAAAAAACAAATAAAATAGGATGATATTATTGTAGGATGCTATTATTGAAAAAAATAAAGTAGGATGCTATTTTTTTTGTAAAAAAACAATGTTGATTGTAAAAAAAAATTAAGTAAGATGCTATTATTGACAATGAAAACATAAAATAAATCACTACAATAGAAAACAACAACATAATATAATTGTTTAAAATACAATGCTACAATTGAAAAAAAATAAACAAAAAATACAATGTTATAAATAACAAAAATATAAAAAAATACAATGCTCTAATAGAAAAAAACAATGTGTATATGTAATAGAAATTGTATCTGTATATCTTATAAGTTTTCAGGTAATGACGTCGATATGACTTTTGTTTTTGTACACCATGGTTGATGTTATGGAGCCAAGGACCCACCTCTCTCAGGCGGTAGAGGTGCTGGTCAGCATGAGCAGGATGACAAGTCTTATTATAATTTTTATTTACTACTTTTATTCAATTATAATAAAATATTGTTTCTAATAATTTTTCATTATATTTGTAGCTGTGCCACACATGAAAGTCAGAGGAAAAATGAAAAACATTAAGCTTGAAAAAGTGCTCTTAAGCAATAAGGGCAAACTGATTGACATGGAATATAGTAGGGATATGCCATATGATCCCGTAGGAGAGCTAAATGATATGTTTGCACGCGAAATTAGAAACATAATGTGGAGGATGGTCCCTTTTGATAAAAGAACTTGGAAAAGAGTTTCCCCTGCGATAAAGGATACCGTAAAGCAACATTTAGGGGTAAATTATTTATATATGCGTATTTTATATGTTTAATTATGACTGGTTTTTATTTGACTACTTTGTTTTTGTTTTTGTAGACAAAGTTTGATTTTGATCGGATGTCCCAGGATCCACAGACTGCTATGTTGTTAGAGAGTTTTGAAGTGGCTTTGTTAAGAAGTTATCAAGAGCGTAAAACTAACACAAAAGCATATTTTTTGAAAGTCGGAGGGTATGAGGATATCCCGAGAGCTTTAGCCACCCCCGGATGATATGGAGGTTAATAATTGGAGGAAAGCAATTAAGTATTTCCAAACGGATGAACACCTAGCTGCTTCTGTAAGAAACAAAAAAGTATTTGAACTGCAAACGTCCGTGAACCGTGGGGGGTCGAGCTCGTAGAACAATACTTGCTATAAAAAGGTAACGTACGATATATGTAATTATTTATTTAAAATTTAATCTAATTTTTAATATTAAATAGAACCTAAAGAGAGTGGAAACGTTTCGCAAGGCTCATACCGATAAGAATGGTGTATTTGTTAATGACCAAACGGAGAAACAATATGTAAGTATTTAATTATAATTTTATCATATAATTAAGTGTTTATTTATACTTAAATGTTAATCACTTTTGGAAAACACAAAATCGGTTAGTGGAAGAGCTCTTAGAACAAACGCAAGGGCCAGAAGGTGAAAGAGAGTTAACACCCGCTGA